GAAAAGATCAGTGTATTGCAGTATGTATCTTGGTCTCAAGACATGTTTTTCGAGTAAGTTAAATTTCTAACAGTCAAATGTTTAAGCCCAAAAATCAAGCACAGATTCACACTGATGTACAATGACTTTAAAGGAAAAAAGTCATAAACAATTTAAATCACAACAAAGTCAGAAAGTATACTAACCTGTCCAAGGATCCTGACAGTAACCTTTGTCCAGAGCTGTTCAGGCATAAACAAGTCACAGTTTTATGGTGATTTTTAAGTGAGACTAGTAACTGTCCACCTTTTAGTACATCCCAAACTTTGACATATCGACCTCCTGTGAGAAGAAAGCACACAAAACAGTGTGGCATACCTATACATTTGCACTTCTCTAGAGAAGTTTTCACAGAGTGATACAGTCCTTAGTTTGTAACACAGTTTCCTACTCATCTTTCCTGTCCCTTATAACCATCTTCTGGGACAAGACATGCTACAAGCCTGCTCTTTTTTTGGCTGCTCTGCAGACACGGCTGAATGATGCAATATACTCCTTACCAAAAGTAATCTAGATACCACTGGGGTACAGAACTCCTGATGCAATGGCAGGAGGAGATTTTAAAACCCTGTCAACATTAAGTTACATATTTCAAAAGTTCTTAAGTATGTTCATTCTTTCACTTTAGCACTGAGCTAATTAAATCTGTATCTTATAATTAAATTTAGGTGGGTTTTTTTCTGGACTAACTATAAGAAAATCAAAGCAGGGACAAGGAGACCCTCACCTTCATCCTCCAGATCAACACCAATTCCTAAAGATCTTTCAGAAATCCAGCTCTTACACCACTTAACACTTCATTAACAAATGCAAAAAAACACCCAAGGGAGAAGCAGACAAAATATTTCTTAAATTAGGGACACAAAAAAGAAATTTGATTGTACTGAATTACCTGCAGATACCAGAAGCCCACCAGAAGGGAAGAGAAGCACACTCTCCACAGGCTGGCCATGTTCTATTGTCATTACACTACTTTTTATTCGTGCATCAAACAGTTTAACAGTGTGATCATAGGAACCTGCAAATAACACAGTAAATACCTTCAGTTTCTAAATTTCAGTTATTTCAGAAACTCAAACAGCCACATCCTTCTTTACTATGAGGGTTACAGACCACTGGAACAGGCTGCCCAGAAAGGTTGTGGAGCCTCCTTCTCTGGAGACTTTCAAGACCCATATGGACGTGTTCCCGTGTGATCTGCAGGTGTTCCTGCTGCAGCAGAGAGGTCAGACCCAATAAAGAGGTCCCTTCCATTCCCCATGATTCTATGATCCTACAAACTAAAGTAGCCCCTGCCAAACACAAACAGATTTAAACCATACACTTAGAAGAACCTGTGGTTTACCTTCTTTAATTTACAGCCTTCCAACAGCAACATAAATCTTCTAATTCTAACCCTATAAACATCATCAGGCCTTAAAAGTAATTTCAGTCTTAATTTTATTTCCCGTCTATTCATGAAGTCTATTTATAACAGAAAATATCAAGCAACCTGACGAAACTAACCTCTTGTGCCTCCTGAAATAAAGAACGCCTTTTTTTTTTTTTCTTTCTTTTTTTTAATAGCAATTTGCCATGAACTAATAAGAAGCTCCTGCTAGGAAAATCAAAAGCAGCTGGTTTCAAGTAATTCCTCACACAACCTTTCAAGTTTTCAGTCTGCCAGTTTTGAACTCTACAAACTGCAATGGAAGTAGTGTCCTCCTCCAGAAAGCTGATAAAACACTTCAGTCAATCTCAACTGAAGCATTTTCTTAAAACATATCAAAGGCCAGTCAGAACAGACCCGTTACCCCTTACAGGCTAAAGCAAAAAGATGCTAAAAATCAGTTTGCTCA